GCTGGCTCTGTCCTGGGAGTTGGTCCCCTGGTCTCTGTCTCCTGTCTTGGCACCCCACTTCCTTACACTGTCACCTGGTTGCCCCCTTGCAATATCCTGGGGGACCACAGGGGGGCCATATGGCCCCCCAGTTGAGAAACGCCGCATCGGACCTCTGTGTGCTTTCATGCTGCAGAGCTCATTGTTCCGTGCAATTTCAAAACCCAAACCCACTCAGCTAATTAAGCTCTCCCTGGCCAGGAGCTCACTTGGATCCCTGACAGTCCCTAGTTAAAGCGGAGTTTGTCGTTTTTTGACAGTCAACCAAGACTCTCTTGTTTGCTTGAGGAAAACTGGCTGGCTTTCGTCCCTGGCATTCTTTTTGAGATACCTTAATTCCAACAAGTCACTAGTCTTCCTGACCATGACTCAGGAATTGTGCCAGGTTTTTCTTGACTGCTTTTTGTTGGAGACAGGTACTAGACGTGATGAATTGTTGTGGGCTTGGTTTTAATTTAAGACAAGTTGTCTTGGGAACAGGAATGAGGTTGAGACGAGAATGTAATGACGAAAGCAAGCAAATCAAATTACTTGGACTATAAAATAAGTGTTTGGACCATGTATTTTAATTCTTCCACTTATTGCTTCTTAATTAGTCCATATCTCAGAAAACTAAAAGTGCTGCAGACAAGCGACATTTTCAGAGATAAAAATGTTCTAAATGTTTTTCTGGTAATGGCACTCAATGTCGAGTACTGAGTAATATTTTTTTCCCTACTTTCACCATTTTCCTTAATTTTTTAGACTTCCTTCCGGGAAAGAGGAAATGGGCTGGAACAGAACCCATTGGTATTTTATTATTAAACCCATCTCATCTTCATCTCTGTGACTCCTGATCTGGAATGAAATGGCCTAAGATTTCTCACTTGCCGTGTAGGCTCTATGTAAGACGCCTTCTCCACAGTACTTGGGTCTCACCAGTGCATTACCCAAAGTTACTCACATTTATAACCTTTGTCCCACTAAGGAGTCCCAAACTAAGATGGAAGGGAAATGACACACTTCGCCAAGAAGCCAGCAGAAATCTTCCTTTTCTTTTTCCCTCCGAAAGAGTCTCCTGGTATGGACGGAACTGCAGGTCTGCCGTCTGTGACCTTGAGAAAGCTGCAAGTTAAATAGGAGTTGGGTATTGAAGTTCCTCTCGTCCACCACCACCCCAGACGGGGTGCCCGACTCATCCTAACAGGTAAGTGTTTTTATAATTACGGCAGATGGCGATGATGGCAGCAAAGGCGATTCAAAAGGGGAGGCACGTGAAAGCAATAATTTTGAATGTTTGACATTTGTTTTGAAACTACCTTCCTACGGTAGACCCTTTACCATCTGTCTGTTAGCCCCCCCAACACCCACCTCTGTCTTCCCACAGGGCCCCATTGTGTGCAGTTCCTGTTTCTCAGGGGCGGAGCTGTGGGAGGCAGCCATGGGTGCCATAATAGGCACCTGCGGCCAGCACAATGGGCTGTGGGTGCTTGTGGGAGAGACAGATTGATGTATTGTGCGTGGGGGAGGAGGGCTGTCACTTGAATCCATGTGAACCCAGGCTTTAGGGGCAAGGGAGATTGACAGCTTTTGTAGGTTGCATTTCTTTTTCAAAGCTTGGCTTTAATAGACAGTAAGTTTGGGGCCCCAGGCTTTCACTCCCATAATTCTAACAGGGCAATCACCGAGCATTCAGCATTTCTTTTTACCCCCCTTGTTACGCATTAAATGATTTCAGTAAAGGAATGTGCAGCATTAATTAGAATTGGTTAGCAGATACCAAGGGGAAAAGTTTCTTCACAACAACTATAGGAGGTGTCATTTGTACAAAGACTTTTTTGTTTTCGGTCCCCATTACATTATCACTGCAATATGTAAGGTAGTGATTCTTTTCATTTAAATTAAGTGGAAAGCTACTAAATCTTGTTTTATTCTCCAGAAAAAGAATAAGGTCCTTAACACTTATCTTTTAACTTCTTTCATTTCCTAAGATTGGTGTTTACTTTTGCTTTCAGCCCGACCCATTTACAGATCTGTGTGCTTGTGTATCCAGTTCTGTGTCCCATTTAGCTCGTACAATTACAGGCAACCCTCTACTGATATATAGGATCGTTTCAGGTGAAAATAGCTCCCGGGAGTGATGAAAATTATGGCGATGCTGGGGAACTTTTTGGTAATGGAACATAGGGAAAAAGGCCAGTTTAGAATTGTGTCCTAAACGATATTAGACAGTCATTTACCCCTAACTGGTATTTAACCTTACGTCTGACATCAAATTTATGGTATTTATGAAAGAATTAAGTGAGTGGCCGAAGAATATTTTTCCCACAGAAAACATTGCTAAAGTAAGTCATATTTAAAAAAAAATCAAAATCTGCATGCACAGACATATACTCCTAATACTGAACAGCATTTCCTTAGTTTGAATTATCTTGGTTTTGTTTTTCTATAGATTTTTCAAATTCCTAATATTATTCGACATGCGTAGGAACAAAAGTAATCTCAAATATGATGTCCCATGAATGCACGTTTTGCCATGGGAGGAACTGGTAAAATTTTAAAAATCATTGGTGTGGTTTTTTATTTCTTTTAAACCACCCTCCCCTAGAAAAAAACATTTTCTCTATGGATGGAGTTAAAGGCTAATTGAATGAAAATTTCCTCACCCAATTGTTTTATTTAAATGTGTAAAGGGCAACAGTGAAAAATATTGATTGTCTACCATTATTTCTTCAGAAGAACATATTCCCACACAGTTGTCTGGCTCTGTCTATAATAATAATTTGGTGCAGTGGCTTTAAAAGTAGTGGGGTGATAATAATTAGGGTGTGCAACACAAATTTCAATGCGGGCTTCAAGATTTCACCATGCCGGGCATGAAAATTGCCGACTCGGCCTAGTCAGCTCTAAGTACTAATTAACTAATTAATCAGGTGCTGAAACCAAGTGAATGGAGAATACCAGCCAGACATCCCGAGCCCAGAGGTTTGTGCTCATTCAAAGACAGTGCAGCCTTTCTTCTTGGTTTTGAACCCAATCAAACTGGAGGGGGGGTGGTGGTGGTTTCCTACTGTCAGTCATTTAAGTCCAGGGTTTGTACTGAGAAAATATAAGAACACGTACGTCTGGTAATCACTAGGAGGCAGTGAGTTCAGGGCAAGGCCAATTCACTCGTGAGCCGTGAACTATGTCAGGGTTCTCTCAGCAGCGGTGGCTCTGCTTTTCTGGAGTTTTCTTCTAGCTATTTTCCCCTTTGGATATCTCTTATTTGGGGGTTGATCTTAGGGCCTTTGCCTCATCCCTCGTTTATGTAAATGAGAAGAGTCCAATTACACGTATGGAAAAAGGGTTTAATGAATCGTGAAGGAGCCCGCTCGGCAGAGGAAGGGCACAATTCCGTCTTCTTCGCCTCCTCCTTCCTCTCGCGCTTATTTAATTTAGAAACAGGTATGTCTTTGAAGGAAGATGATAACGCTGGGTGATTACAGCATTTTCGCCGAGACACCAAGTTTCCTACGTGCCAATTATTGAACAGATTTTTTTATCTGCGAGGCTTTCTGGAGACTTGGCCAACAGGCCACAACAAAACCGCTACTTTCTTAGGACCCCTCCCCCAATTAAAGAATGGATTAGATGTTCGTTTCTCCCCATTAAAAAAATATTCTTAGCTCTGGGTGTAATTTTCTTCTCCACACAATTTGCTCTAATAGGTCGCACCTGAACCAGGCTGGTGTGGCGACAAGGGGCTTGTTGAACTTGAGGAAAGGATGGCAGTAAGCAAAAACCATTTGCACTTCATTTGCTCTGACTGTGATGTTTTTAACTAGCTAGAATTTTAGGGTGGTGGAGACTAGGAGAATTCCCCTTCCAGGTGCTGAATTCGACAGGGGAGCAGAAATGGGCTGTGCTTGGACTTTCATTTTTTCGACTTTCTTCCCCTTTTCTTCAGTAATTGAAAGTAGACCCTAACAGGGAACACCCCCAAACTCATCTCTCTTTTTTTTTTATTAGTGAAACACCATGAGGTACCGTTGTAGACAAACTTTAGAGCTTGGGTTTCAGTTATACAATGCTCGAGTACCCATCCCTCCACCAGTGCCCATTCTCCATCACCACTGATCCCAATAGCCCTCCCACCCCCCCAACACCCCCCCCCCACCCCGCCTCCGTGGCAGGGCATTCCCTTTTGCTCACTCCCTCCTTCAGGGTCTTATAGTTTTACAATAGAGGTACTGAGTGGCCCATCGTGTTAGACTGAAAACTCATCTCTTTTTTAGTAATGCCCAAACACCTGGCAAAGATGCAAGGGCGGGGCGGAGCGGAGCGGGGATCAATACCTGGCCGGCGGGCGATTCTTGGAATTTTTGAAGTAGCCAAGTAGCCCAGCCCGGCTTGGGGACTGCGTTTAAGTTCTCGAAAACCGCGTCTACTGGCAGTGCCAGCCACGTCATTGGGCAGTTGGAGGCCACTAAGCTGGAGGCTGGTGGGGGGGGGGGGGGGAGGAGGAGGGAGGTTGGAGGTGGTGGTGGTGGGGGTGGGGGTCCCGCTGCCGCGATCCCCAGAGCGGCACAGTTTCCCGGGGTCCCGTCCGGGGAGGCGGCCGCGCGGCGGCGGCGGCGGCGATCGGGACAGAGAAGCGACCGTGCGCGCGTGCGTCGCCCGCACCCCGAAGCCCTGCGCTCCCCGCCCGGGGCCTTCCGGGCTCGGCGGGCGGGATGCGACGGGCGACGCGGCGGCTGGGGGGGGGAAGGGGGGGAGGGGGCGGCGGGGACCGGTCGCATCCCACGTGCGGGCGGGCGCGGCGGGGCCGGAAGGGGCTCGGGGGCGGGGGGCAGGGGCGGGGCGGGGCGGGGCGGGGCGTGCACGCGGGCGGGCGGCGCGCGCGGCAGCCGTTGCCCTCCAGGCCCCGCCACCGCCGCCGCCGGCGCACGAGGAGCCGGGCAGCCGCCAGCCAGCCCGAGCCGGGGCCGCCAGCGACGCGGATGGAGGAGGCGCCAGCCGACGCCGAGGAGGCCGACGCCGATGCCGATGCCGACGCCGACGCCGACGCCGACGCCGACGTGGCCGAGCCGTGGCTGAGCAAGTGGGAGCGCCAGTGCCTGGCCGAGGCCGAGCAGGGGGAGCCGGCGGAGGCGGGCGCGGCCGACGGGTCCGGGCTGCAGGGCGAGCGACAGCAGCTGTGGCAGCTCTTCCAGCTCTCGGCCATCGCCGTGGCCCAGCTCTACAAGGATGCCCAGGCGGGGCCGTCGGCGTGGGATCCCTTCCAGCACGCGGCCATGGCCGTGACCAGCCTGTACCAGGAGAGCGGCGCCGCCCACCGGCGAAGTTTCGAGATGGGCGTGCAGGTGGGCCGCCGGCGCCGCAGTCGCGACCTGCTCGACTGGGCCCGGAAGGGTCGCAGCATCATCCCCCGCGAAGATCTCATCGGCTTCCTGTGCGGCAAGACCCCCCCGACGCCGTCGACGGCGTCCAGCGCCCCCGGCTCGGCCCAGCCCGGCAAGGCCCCCAGCGCCGCCGCCGCCGCCGCCGCCGTCGAGACCCCCGGCCCGATGCCCGGCTGCAGTGGCGGCGACGCCGACCTGCGGCCCTTCCACGACGCCATCGCCGTGCACGGCCTCAGCGGGGCCATGGAGAGCATCAGCGTGGGCACCGGTGACCCCCGGGGTACCGAGCTTCCCCCGAGGAGCCCCCCGACGGAGGAGGCGGCACCAGCGGCGGCGGCAGCGGCGGCTAGCGACGCCTTTGGAGAAGTGGCCCCAGGCCCGGACAGTGTGGGGACCCGCAAGCGCCCGTCAGCCAGTTGCGGCGAGGGCGTCTCGGACTCCCCGACGCACAAGCGCCACCGACTGCTTTAAACAGGCCCGTGTGGCCCCCACGTTGCTGGCGAGCGACCTCCCCTCGCCTCTGTTCGGCGAAAGGCTCCTGAAGCCCAGCCTGCCCTAAGTTAAACAGTTTTGTAGGAAGTTTGCCTTAAGAGGCCAAGTTGGACTGCCCTCCCCTCCCCCCGCCCACCTCCCCCGGGCCGTACCCTCCCCCCACCACCGAGCAGAGCGTGGCGTCCTTTGAAGCCAGGCGCATCTGTTCAAGGAGGGAACCCGGTTTGCCTTGTTGACGATTTTATTATTCAGTGGCACCAGGCACAGTTGCCGGTGCTCAATAAATGTTTGTTGAATGAATAACTGTGAGCGGACTTACAATTCGTCAACGGGCGGGCCTAACAGGCGCCCGCGGGGTTGTAGCATCCGTTGGTCCTTGTGCGCCGTTGCGCACTGACCGTTTTGACCCATGACACGGTAGCCACAGTGTCAGGTCAGGCCGGACCACGGTGTGAAGTTCGGGGAATCCCCTAGTTAACCTCACTCTGCCATGCACCTCACTTTTACACAGGGCGGGGAGGCTGGATTTTTTTCTTTTTTTTCTTTTTTCTTTTTTTTTTGTGATGGGCTGTGATTTGGGTGATGGATGTGGCGTGGAGAGAGGCCATGATACTTGGCTTCAATCCAGCTGGGGGGTGGGAGCGGAGCGGTAGCACAGAGGGTAGGGCGCTTGCCTTGCACGCAGCCAACCGGGGTTGGGTCCCCGGCATCCCATATGGTTCCTCAAGCACCGCCAGGAGTAGTTCCCGAGTGCAAAGCCAGGAGTAAACCCTGAGCATCCCTGGGCGTGACCCAAACAGAAAAAAAAAATCAGTCCAGCTCAGTTTTTTTAGAAAAGCAGAGAGACCCGGGAGATCCATCAGGATGAAGTGGGTTTCAGCGAAGGGTCCAGAATACCTTCACGACGAACTTTGGATGAGAAAAACCCGTGGGCTGGGAGAGTACGGAAGGGAACAGTGCTCAGCTGGTGGCCAGTCATCTGTGGAGGCTCCTCTAGCCACCAGGAGGAAGCCCTGAGCACACGCCCCTGGCATGGTTTTAGGCAAAGTCCCAGAGATGTTTGCACACAGCAGCTTTTCATCTGTGAACTAGAACTCTGTCTCCCGAGGTTCTTGAGGGCATATTTCATGTTCCGTGTTTGAAGAATTGGGACCGCACTCGTGCCCTTGTTCCTCCTCCTCTAAAAATCAGGAAACCACGAAACTGATTGGGTTCTAGATAAAGCAGGGACAGACAGCACTAGAAAGTGAATTTCTGAGCTGAAACAACCGTGACCTTGTTGAAGTTTGCGTAAGCACCGCAGGTCTTCCATTGTTTCCAAGTGGGTTTACTCAGGACCCCTAGTGCGGATCCTCAGGGTCAGGGTGGGTCGCTGGCTGTCCAGAATGATCTCCTTGGACCTAAAGGAACACAGGGAGGTGGGAGTGAAAGTCCTCCAGAGACCCCCTGGTAGGTGAGAGTGGTTTAGAATAGGGGCCAGGACCCAGGTTCGATTCCCAACATCCCATATGGTCCCTGCCCCCAGCACCGCCAGGAGTAATTCCTGAGTGCAGAGCCTGGAGTATCCTCTGAGCATCACCAGGTGTGAGCCAAAAAGCAAAAAAAAAAAAAAGAAAGAAAGAAAGAGAGTAGGGGCCAGAAATGACGGATACCAGGATGTGGGGTGTGGTGTCATGGAGGTGAGAATGAGATTATGGACCTGCTAGGGAGGGGTGCGGCAGGGGGTGGGAGTTCAGAGTCCCTGAGTCTTGGCTTAGCGTGGTCATTGGTCACAGCCCTGTCTGGGGTCACTCCCAGGTTCTGCAGTGTCCCTAAGTGAGAGCCAGGGAGGTGGTTCCAGGCACCACTAGCTCCCAAATCAAAAACCAGAAGAATAAAACAAACCTAGATTCCCCCACTGTCCCTTGACTGTGCCCAGACCAGCACAAGTTATACTAGAAATCGATGTGTGACGCCTGTCCTTCAGGTTCATAGGAGAGTATTGCCATTGATTTTGAAGTGGGCTGGTCATTGATCAGTGCATTTAAAAAGTAAAGCGAATTCCCCGAGAGAAGAAAAACTTGCCATTAAAGCGCTCCACACATATTTCTTTAAATGCTACACTGGGCCTGGAAAGGATAGGGAAAATGAAAAAATAATTGAAAAACAAAACTTATCCTCAAAGGACACATTGTGCTTGAAAGAGAATCGAGTCTAGAAAGCACTTCCGATTGTACTAAAAGCACCCAAGGGCTGTATAGAATTCCGAGGACAGAAGGTGGCCTTTGAGCCTGGCCAAGAGAAAGGTAGAGTGAGCGAGACAAGGGTGTCCAACAGTTTGGGGTAGAGAGTGTGAGTTCTAGGGCATGTACCTAGCGTCCCCCGCCACCGTTGGCTGTGACCCTGGGAGGCCCTAGTACCAAATTATCAGGCCTGCACTTCCCGTCAAGCAAGAGTTAGGGGTAGGGGCCAAAGCGATAGCACAATGGGTAAGGCATTTGCCTTGCATGCAGCCGACCCGGGTTCGATCCCTGGCATCCCATATGATCCCCCAAGCACCGCCAGGAGTAATTCCTGAGTACAGAGCCAGGAGTGAACCCTGAGCATCGCTGAGTGTGACCCAGAAAAGGCAAAAAAAAAAAAAAGAGTTAGGGGTAGCCTCTGCAAAACAAAACGGAAATTAAAAAAATGAACAAAGGTGGAAAAGAGTACATCAGGTCCTGGGGGATCTCAGGAGCTGGGGAGGAAAGGCAGGGAGCAAAGGATACAGGTTTCTTTTTTGTTTTTCTTTTTGGGTCACACCCAGTGATGCTCAGGGATTACTCCTGGCTCTGCACTCATGACGGTGCTGGGGGACCATATGGGATGCCGGGATCGAACCCAGGTCAGCTGTGTGCAAGGCAAACACCCTACTCGCTGTACTATGGCTCTGGCCCCGGATACAGGTTTGTTGCCAAGCCCACATGCTTGCGAGCCAACCCGGGGGCTGGGGGTGACGCTGATCTGTGTTATGAAGATTGATGTGGCAGGATGTCTGGTACTTCATCAGCCAGGACCGAGCAGAGTGGGGACAGTCCAGGGGGACTGTCCAGGGCAGTCCTGGCCCAATAATTTCAACTAGGGCATTGCCACATTTTTGACCAAAGTGGCCAAGCTGTTGACCTTGTGAAGACAGTGCCTTGAAGAGCCTTCATTCACGAGCAGCAGGGGGGTTGGGACTGTCCCTTGAAATCATATGGCCTGTCAGTGGTATGTGATGGGACCTGCTTGGATGCTCCTTGTTGGCTGTCCAGCCCATCTGCATGTACTGCATGGCCCAGCCTGAGGTTAGACATATGCATGATCAAAGTTTCCCCCAGAGCCCTGACTTTGAGCCCTCCCCAAACTTACCAGGTAACAGGCTCTTGTCTCTTGCAGCCTGGGGAGGCCTGGGTTCCAGCAGCTAGCTCTCGGAGGACTAGTCTTGAAGGAACCGGAATATAAATTCTGCCTTGGGGCTGGAGCGATAGCACAGCGAGTAGGGCATTTGCCTTGCATGTGGCCGACCTGGGTTCGATTCCCAGCATCCCATGTGATCCCCCGAGCACTACCAGGAGTAATTCCCGAGTGCAAAGCCAGGAGTAACCCTTGTGCATCGTCAGGTGTGACCCAAAAAGCAAAAAAAAAAATTCTGCCTTTTCTGCTGGTGCTTGAAGCCTTGGGGCTGCTGGACTAACTGAATAATGGCAGCCAGAGGCAGCAATTTAGTTTGGGGGCCACCCCCAGCCATGCTCAAAGGTTACTTCTTTTTCTATTTTTTTTTTTTTTTTTGCTTTTTTGGGTCACAGCTGGTGATGCTCAGGGTTTCCTCCTTGCTGTGCACTCAGGAATTACTCCTGGTGGTGCTCACGGACCCCTATAGGATGACAGGGATTAAAGCAGGGTCGACCACTGCAAGGCAAACGCCCTCCCCGCTGTACTCAGCCCCCTAAGGGCAGAAATTTGAACCAATCGGTGTACTTATTGCTAGGAGAGCAGGGACTTGGTTTTAGCTTGTTTCCTTCTGCAGTGGTGCCCACGCAGCACCTGACCCCTAGGGGCATGCAGGAAAGGTCCAGTCAGTTAGTAATGGCTGAGTGGCCAAGTAAGTAGCACATCCGGATCCAGGCAGAGCCAGTATCTTCCTCCTCTCCCCGGGAAAGCAGCTGAAACTGCTCAAATTTCTGGGTGATCGACCCCTGGTTTCCTTTGCTCTTCAACATCATTATTCGATTTAGGCTTTCTGCAAAGTGTGATAAGGCCCAGGTTGTGGATGGCCTGAGTGACCTCGCTGAAGCCCCCAGCAGGTGAATTACAATTGCAGTGGGAATTGCCTGAGCTTTGGCACGGGTGTGGGGATTGTGACGTGAGAAACCCCAGCCCAGGAGGACACCACTGATTCCAAGGGGCTGATTTCAAATTGATCACTGCTGCTCAACTTTTCTGGGATGGCTGAAAGTACTTTGCCCCGTTCTCTTTTGTCGTAATATTGAATGTGATCAAGGTATAGAGATAGTAAAGTGGAAATCTGCCACACAGGCGGGGTGGGGGGCGGGGTGGGGAGGGTATACTGGGGCTCTTGGTGGTGGAAAATGTGCATTGGTGAAGGGACGGGTGTTTGATCATTGTATGACCGACCGAGACTTAAACTGAAAGGCTTTGTGATTGTTCTCATGGTGATTCACTGTCACTGTCACTGTCACTGTCCTCCCGTTGTTCATCGATTTGCTCGAGCGGGCCCAGTAACATCTCCATTGGAGACTTTGTTGTTACTGTGTTTGGCGTATCGAATACATCACGGGTGGCTTGCCAGGCTCTGCCGTGCGGGCGAGATACTCTCGGTAGCTTGCCGGGCTCTCAGAGAGGGGCGGAGGAATCAAACTCGGGTCGGCCATGTTAGCTGCGTGCAAGGCAAATGCCCTACCGCTGTGCTATCGCTCTAGCCCAACGGTGATTCAATAAATAAAATTTTTAAAAAAGCA